GATGGGTCTGATTTATCTTCAGTCCATTCGTGGATAAATTTCCATTGTTTATAATGTCATTTTCCACGTAACATAAATCAAAAGCAGCGCTTATTTTGACGAATGGTTATTCCAGCTTGATAATTCCATCTGTGGCTATCGCTTTGTTGGATTGTTTTGATTTGAAAGCGAACGTATATAATATATTTTCCTAGAGGATTTGTATAATTACACTAAAATTGGTTGAAGCGGTTAGAGAATGCACCATCAGGCATTGTGAGTATGTATATAAACGGAGCTTTGATTTCCATTTGCACGAAAATCATTTATGCAGTATTAAAACAGGTATAGGTTTGGTACTTATTTAGAGCCTCACCGTCGTCGCTTGAAAAATATCTTCAATTCCAACAGAAATCGAGCAGAAATATTCAGTTTTTCAAGCCCGAATCGTCGACTCCAGAAAAATCTCACGGACTCGCTTCCTATTCATTTCTGGTCGTATATTTTACGTCCCTCGCAAATCGAACAAACTGCCTTGCATGTAAACAAATTTATTACAATTTCTGGATACTGTACGGTCCCATTATTTTTTCCGCCTACTTCGAGTTCATAAATAATGAACACAAGCGGAGGAAGAACTCTATTTCCTGCCGTATTTTTCGGGGTATAAAAGGTGATTCACTAAGCCTTTGTTATTGGGTATCCTTTTTTTACATAGCCTGCAGTATTATTTATGCAAATTGATTGTCAAATTTTATAACGAAAATCGTAAAAAAATAATTGATCTAGGATTTTTTAAATTATCCGTTTATAAGGCACACATTATAAGGCACACACTGTATAGGGTTTAAGTGTTATTAACGCACAACTTCCAAAACTTTCATCTTTCAATAATACCTTTCAAATTATCTCGCTCATTTACGGCGAATTTCGCAACTTATGCTCGTTTTAACGAGTCGAAGGCGTTATAGACGTTAAGGTTGCATATGTTCAATCCCTCGTTACGAAACTCTTTTCATATTCCCGAGTACTTTGGAGATATTTTCCGTCAAAGTGATTAGAGCAGCGGATAAAATAGTCATTAGTTGGTCGTATTTGGAATGTTTGAAAATAAAATAGAACAGAACCGAGAAAATGTATAATTAATGTTGGAAGAAAACGTGGAAACGGTATTAATTGGATTATAATTTAATTATTTACAACCTCTGTGTGTTCAAAATGTTTGCGAACTTTCAGCAAACGTTGGATGTTTTTGAAGCTTCTGTACTTTTTAATTTTTTTTAATTACGATGAAAATTTTATCTTATGGCAATGTGGCGTGCGATCGAGTTCAAAATTATACAAATATTGAACGAAAATATCAGAATTGCCTTCACCACAATTATTCTGACTCTCCTGGCATCTATAAAATAATTAAGCCCTCTGATGATTTTTGAGCACAATTCGCAATTGTTCCAGTTAATTAAATTTTATTCACAACGACCCAGTGTATTTGTGCGCGATTCTCGTTCAGCAAGTCCTCATTGTAATACACACGTATATATGAAAAGGGATTACCGAGGTTTTCATTTCCATAAGTCATTTCTAATTGGATTTTCGTGTATTTGGATCCCCAACTTAAACTCCGGGTAATTTTATCATTCGCACTTATTCGTCATTGCCGTAACACCGTGGGAAATGATTTGTTGCTTGGGAATTTCATCGTATAAAGTTTGCAGGAATGAGTTGGGAACCCGACGAGATCCCTTCGCGTTTACATGGTAGTTTTGGGGATTCATTCGAGTTGGGTATGTTTGAAGAGCTCCAATTTTTGAAGTAGAAAATCGATTCTAATCACACTTATTCTTATTATTAGAAAATTTACTATGTGCTTTTGAATTGTAAAATAACACGTAAATACTTGGTAAATTCGTTAACTTGAATTAAGGTATAATAAACAAGAATGGATTCATTGCAAATAAATGTAATAAAACATATAATGTAATTCGACTGCTTTTAATTTAATTTGTGAGTAAGTCAAGTAACTTGAAAGTAATTTAATTGATACAAAGCGCTCGACGTAAGTACGAGCAGGAGTAATTGAATTGTAAATAAATAAATTAGTTGTAGTAATTGATCAAAGTTAGCACAAAACATTGTAAAAGCGAGGGCAATCGAAGAAAAATTCGCCTTTTTTGAAACCGAAAATAACACATTATTTTTTAATTAACTATTGGTATAGTTATGTAATTCGTTTTATTTAAATCTTTCAAGTTCAAAATACAACACTCTGGCCATTTTTAATGATATAAATCGGGGTATTAGGAAATGTTATACCTGAATTGGGCGAATGGGATTGAACGAATTTTCTTCTACGTTACCCTTATCGATTTACTTACGTAATACAGTTTTTTATCAAGAGGTCAAAGGTCGTTTAAAAAACTTTCATTGTACGAAAGCTTTTAGCTTATTATTTATGTATAGGGGAATTCGGCGATGCTCAAGAGCTCAAGAGATTAATGCCTTGTAGAAAATTGCTTTTTTGTGGTCGATCCACACGTATTTTTTTATATGGTTCTCTCGTCGACATATGTTATAAAAACGCCACATCTTCAATTAAGTTTAAAAAGCGCAAATACGGACCGATTTTCCCCCTTATGAGGACCGTGCTCGAAATTAGAGCCTTCGTCGGTAATTACACAAAGCTCCTATGCTTATTCAATTTCCAAAGTTAAGCAAACTTTCACGTCTAACCAATTTTAATCCAGTCGCTGTCATCCCAAAACCCATAATTGTTTTATAATGGTTGCCACAACAAGTCCTACCCGATTAAATGCTTATATTATGCTTCGAATGCTTATAAGTGGCTGTTAACAGACGCTTAATCGCTTGATACTCGTTTATAATGAGCATGAGCGAATAGTTCGTCGTCGTGTTTCTATCACAGTGTAAAATTCGCAATATGTTAATTCAAATTGTTGAAATCTTCGAGTTTGACTCGGCAAAATGTTTTGTAGGTATACATTTAACTTGATTCATTTTATAGTACTCGATTATTTTTTAACAACTTCCTTATAATTCGTGTTTTCAATTCGTTTTTAATTAATAGTTAATTATAATTATCGTTAGAACACAAGAACAACAGTACTATCAAATAGACATTAAAATTCATGATAAAAGAATAGTTTCCGGTACTAATTATTTAGACAATAATGAAATATCGACAATAATATAAAATTTACCATCGAATGTAAGCCTGAAAATTTTGTTGTTCATTTTATTTTGAAAGAATGTTATGTTATACTAATACAACTTTCACTCTATTCAATTAATATCTACATAATTGATAAGCACCTGTTGTTTGTGAACAGAGCTATTAAAATATAAAATACAATATAGCCTTTAAAACTCATATAGTTTTTAGACTTTTTAAATCTCATGAAGTTAAATTTATTTGGTTAGACCAGTCAAAATCCAATATTGCAATATTTAGTAGGTTCACTTTTAGATGAATGTTACAGAAAGCACTCAATCAATCACCAAACTGATTTATCATTTAATCAATATTGAATGAACTGCCTAATCAATAATAAAATTTAATGTGTAGGTAACTGCGATTAATTTATTGACGGTATTATTTTTATTATCGAAAGTGTTTTTACTGTAAATACACCTAGAACGTGACAATGAAACTGACGTTACGATCATAAAATATTACCGTTTCGTATTTAAAATATGTCTCTATCAGTGTAAGTAGAATTATTTAATGGAATACCACTGTAATAGTTGTATTAATAAACTCATTCATTTGAGTTACGTTTGCAAAATAGCGTGTACCTAAATAGTATGAGAAAGTACATTTCAAATTTGGAATATAGTGCATGTATTTTGTAGGTATAATAAAATTTTATTGAACCTAGTATATTTTAGTAATATTAGACATTTGAATCATGGAAACTGTTCTTTTTGTTCATTTTTATCTAATGTTAGAGGTAGATATAGCGTAAGAACACTTAAACAATTTCTTTGAATTCATTTCCAATTGCATACGTTTTAAAATTCAATTTAATGGTATGTCGCTCTTTAAATCACTTCATTCATTGAAGGGAAATCTTTATACATATTAGTAAAATGTATATTTATCCGGGTGTAGAAAAATAGGAATAGTTATGTATAGTGATAATCTCCTAAACCACGGTAGACAGGAATGCCAAAAAAAATGAAGTTATTTCCCTGCATCTGTATGAATTTATTTCGGGTTTGACCTTTGGAGATTGTCCAATGTTTTCCAAGAAACCTTGTCGAAACTTTTTGTTTTAATCGATTGTAACAAATGAGGATATTTATGTAAAATGTATTGTTTGAAAGATTTATTCACTGTTTAATGTCCAATAAAATTTATATATGAAGCGAGGAAACGGCAATCAAAATAATATGCATTTTGTTTTTTGAAGATTTATCTATGTAAATAACATTTAGGAATAGAATTAAGTTTGTTGGATATATTAAAATGATACATAACAGGATTTTGTAAGGTTTTGAACTCATTACCTTAACGGCCAAATTACTTCATTTTTTCTCGTTTTTTTAAATTGCCTTCAGCCCTTTTTTAATTCCTTAATATTTCATGAATTTTTTACGGCTTCATATAGCCGGAAAATAAATTATTCAGACATTTACACACCCTTCGTGACAACTAACACCCAAATCACCCTTCAAACATAACGACTGGCAAACCTATTAAACTTAGCATTAGTAACTTATTTAAATATTGAAAACAAACATCATTAAATAAACATATGAAAACTGAAATAATAAAAATTATGTTCGTATTTTTTTAAATAAATTACATAAAATAAAATCTTAAAATTCTCACCAAAAAAAAAACTGAAAACACAAACAACAGGAAAAAATAAATAAATAAAACACTGGCAAATGGTAATCACAAAAATAACATAAACCAAACGAAACCAACAAACAATAAATAACGGTTGAAAATTTTTCAAAAAACACATCCAAATACAGGGGGGTAGCAAACTTACGAAAAACCCAAAACGGGGCGCGCCCTTGAAGTTCAACTATTTCACGGCTGTCCGAGATGGCACATGTTGCGCGAACAAAACTGTTCGGTGATCGCCAAGTGCTCTTTTTTCGTCAAACGTTCAGCTGGGATGCGATAGCGACGCGTTCGGAATAACTGAGCGCGTCAGGTGGCGGCGACGCTTCACATAAACTCCCTACTATGGCGCCGGCACCCCTTCCAGACCGGCGTCGCGGCGCGACCGACGCGCATGGGGTGCGCGTCGACATACGCCGAGGCGGACCAATGGCCCCCGCACTTTTTTTCAAACGGATTATATTAGAATTTACATACTTTTCCAACGGGCTCGCAGCTCGGATGAACGGCTGCAGATTAAACCTGCGGTGCTATATGACACCCCCTGGAACTAGGTTTGTTAGAGGTTAATTAATCATATACTAGGATGAAATGTTGCATTGAGGCAGCTTAAAGTTTAGGATTTAAAATCATGACTGACCTAGTTTCCCATGGATTGTTTTCCCTAAGGGAGGTAAAACATGCAAGAGGATAGTACATAATGATAGTAAGTAACTTCGGTGTATACAGACCAATATAATGACAAACAAGAAAAATTAATGAAAATCTGCAAACTATTGTAATCTCCATTTTAAATGTGACTTATTTCTTCCATTCTTAAACCAGCGCCCGATGTATTAACATAATTTAACGCTACATTGTCGGCCGTCACGACTTTACAATTTTGCATCCATTCACGAAAAACTATTTTCAATTGCCAACAATATCCAGCTCGGCGTGTACGTTTATCCGGTATTTCGGTCTTATCTTAATGCAAAGCCGAGTAAATTTCAATCCAAACGAAGGATTGTCAAACAAAACAGGAAAACGACGACGCGGAACTTATGAAATTTCAGGTCGCGCAACGATTGAAGGAGTTACATCTCTTTCCATTAATTCGGTATATTTGTCTTTCGCTTACTTTGACGGTAGTTGCCTTTTGTAAACGCCACGCAAAGTACAATGCGGGGTCCCGAAATCACTTTGCAATTTAAATATTTAAGTTGTCTTCATTTAAATGCTCTAGTCTTTGTATTTGTTGTACTTACTTTTATTTTGTTAGAGAACTATCTCGGAGAAGGTAAGTATTAAATTGAGTTGTTTGCCTTTAGTGTGCTCGAATTATTATGAGTCTCATGAAGATGAATATAATAGTCGTGTAGTTTATTATAATCTACAAGTTGTTGATTATAATAATATAGTAGGTACCTATGTACCTGATGAAGAAAATTTTTAATTTTTAGTAAGAGAATTTGAATTGAGTTGGTAATTAATTTTGTATTCTAAATATAATTATTATTAAAACACCTATTCGCAGAGTTTAGCGTGAAATAGAATTACCTAATTGCTTTGAATTCAATTTATTCTCAGTAACTAAGGTATACATATTGTTCTAATTTAAACACTGACATTTAACAAATGAGATATTTAATTGAACTTTGCAATGTATAGCAAATAGAAAAAAATAGATATCATTTATAGGAAAAAAAATGTTTATCTTTTCTAAAAAATTAATGAATTCATTTGAAAACAGTCTGCATAACACTAATTTGAAATATAATTATTGCTGGTATTTGAAAATATGCGTGATTTTCTCCTCAATTTTATATTAACGAACGAGGGAAAATTTACAACGGGCGATGCTTCAACACAGGATATTCAGTATTTAAAAATGTGCATGTATAACGAACGCCCTATAGACATGTAAATCAGCCTTCACCCGGGGTATTGTTGTGCCGTACAAAATATTTAAGTTAAACAATCAATATTCTATTGCGCATATATTCAATTTTATCCCGTAGGCCTTTGTGTATGAACTTTTTAAAAAATTTGAACGATTTGCATTAGAAATACTTGGGGCATATAAAAAACGGGTGACACTTTAAATTATGTGTAGTTTTTAAATTACTTTTTCTCGTGAATTGAAAGATGAATGAAAAAAAGTAGGCTACAATCGGTGCGGTATAAACTCGCAAGGAAATAAAATGCTGCAAAGAAACCATAAGGAAACTTCCCTCTTCTTCTGAACTATTCGCAGAGAACTACCAATTCAAACAAATTTGCATTCGCTTGAAAGCTCAAAAGCCAAGATTTTATAAAGAAACGCCGATCCCTTTTAAATGGAAGTACGAAAAGTTAATCTGGCGCAATATCTTTGTCATTGGAGTACACATAGGCGCGAACACTTTTCTAACAAGAAAATTGTATTACGTATTTTCATTTTTCAAACTTCAAAGTTGTCGAGATTTCTTTATAAAGCGACTCTAAGCGGGCCCCGCTTTGCATAACGGCCGTTTGAGCAGTGAATCCCGCGGCGATGTTGCCGTTTCTTTTATTATTTTGACACTATTTTTTTATTTGTATGAATGTAAAAAAATAGAAGAATGAAATGTAATTTCTATATTTTCTAAGAAACCGTTTTCTTACAATTTTTTAAACAGTATAAAGTCGAATAAAAAAAACTATTCCTTCTCTTATTGCAATCTTCGGTTAACTTGGGTTTAAGAGACTCTCCCACGGGAGTTTTTAGCTCTAATAGCGTACACCAGAAAAAATTGCTCAAAACCTAAGCAGAGAAAGAAAATAAAAAGAAGCCCATTAGTTCCTACATTTAATTTAATTGAATTTACCGAAATTGCTCGCACGGGGAATAACATTTTAATGATAACAAATTTTCTATAGCTGTAATAATACTCGTACATACATATTGTTTCAAGATAGTTTTTTAAAGTAATTAAATGATCACTGTTTTTGATATCTTAATTAGTTAGATAACTATTTAATAGGCAAATAGTGGATGAAAACGCTTCATTAGCACGCGAATTCAGTGTCACTTTGGATTTACTATACCGCAAATACAAATTTTGTTGTAAATATATTTCAGGCAATGTTAATATCAATATTAAAACATACCGGGGGTATCGAATGTCAAGGGATGCACCTTGATGGGGAGTCTTAAGCGAGGACAAATTTAAATTAGCATCTAGTAATTCTACACAGTAAGATCCCTAATAGCAATTAAAATTAGTGGCAATTCGGGTAACGTATTCGCCTCTCAGTTAACAGCAATCAATCAGCTAGCAATATGCGTATTTATCGTGCACGTGTCTGACGATCTCCGTACCTTAATCACCGATGTTTCCGATGCTGGTCGAATTATAGATTTGATTGCTCATCCATATTTAATTGTCCAGAGATAGATAATTACTATATAAAGGGAGATAAATGCCATATTGGCGCGACGTGATTTATTTACCATCAATTCAATATTTAAGTTAATGTGGGCCTTCTACATAATTGTTGCTCTTGTGGTTTAATTAAATATTTACAATAGTTATTATGTAGGTTTTATTTTTCATAGTATATTCTCATTCGCAATAAATATTGTTTATTTTTAGGGAAAACCCGAAAAAATGAAAATATGCAACCTTCGTTCCAGACACTTTATCGAACAATAAAAAAAAGGGACCGTAATTGAATCCCATATTCACCTTTCTCGGCCTTTGTCGTTTCGCCCAGCTGGAGATTTCCTTCGCGATAGTAGCGCCCCGTTATGGGAAATGCGATCATTTAGCGAGCGAAGTTCGCTAATAGCGGATCCCGTCGTGGATCCTGGAACTAGATAAGGGCCCGTTTTTCCTCGGCACGCAAGCTTTTTAACAGAACGGGTTCCAGGTAGGTATGAACACGTCAAAAACTTTTCGTTTAGTCACTATTAGAATTACAAAGTGGGGAATTAAATCAAGACCCTACCTTTTAGTAATTAGGTGAGTGTAACAAGATAAAATAATATACATAATTCCGTGTAGATATCATACGAAATGAGCAAGTGGGTACGATAAATAAAAATACAAAAAGCGTTACAGAGGAACGTGATGTGAATAAACAATATCATATATCAAAAAAAGTTGTGTTGCCAATAGAGATTAAATAAGGAAACGGAGGGAAATGTGATCTCGCTTCCACGGGAAAATTAGTTATTTATTGGAGATTTCCTTCACCGCTCGAATTAATTGTAACAACTTTATACTCACGTATATCTAGTATTGCAGAACGACGCTTGAAGGATATTTTTGACGGACAGTTAAGATTTAACGATCCAGAAATGCAATATCTAGAGCAGAACCTCACCTCGAGCCGGCACTAACTCTAAGATCCTTAAATGACTCCTTGACGAGACTGTCTTATTCTATTTGTCCGGCATCGAACGCCGAACTTTCCAGAGAGATTCGCCGGAAGTGATAAGGGTTTTAAGGCTAACAGGAAATTTCATAAATGGATTATCGCGATCCTCTAAAGAACCTAAGGCCAACTGTAGGGGATTAGGTGATTTATGAAAATGCTGCATAAAAATCAAATTAACGCCGTCGGAAAAACATGTTGGACGCAGAAAAATCCGTCCGTTGGTTTTATTTACTAACTTTTATTACACCTGCAGCCTACATTCGTCTCTAACGTCCGTTTGTATTCCTCGTTGTAGGTCGCACGAACGAAACTTAATCGATTTATCTTTATCAAGGGAGACAGGATTTTCCGAGTCAAAGGGGCACATCGTTAATCATTCAGATTTTTAGTGGAGTGCGCTAATAGATCCCCTTTACAATAATATAGTACACGCGGCGTAGACAAGATTATAAATTTCAATTCGCGGTGCAATCGAAGTAATTGCGCCCGCCGACGTACTTACATCCGAATCGCACGAGACAAATAAAAGGGCGACGATTTTGGGTCGAAAGCCTCATAAAATGAACAACGACAGGCGGTATTCGAAGTGTTCATTAAATTCCCCGTTTCTGAGTAGCAAAAAGCCACCGTCGCACGCGATCCCTATAGCTTTCTATCTCGGAACGTGGTAACTCCGAAAAAAGTGTATTATACCTTTCTTAAAGCTTTTTTTTTATTTAGCAGACAATCGACAAAGTGATGGAGTATTCGCGGATTTACAAGGGTAACAAAATTATTATTTATGAATTTACCAAGAACAGTTAAGTATATTAATAATGTAATACAGTAGAGTAGATCACCTTGTGCTTAAAAAAATACTCTTTTATTCGGAGAAACAAAGGCAAGCACATTTTAAAGATGCTATCTATTTGTTCTACAA